ACCCACTGTTAGAGATTCGCTGACGATAGTTAATTTGGGGAGCTAAATCCGTATATGACCGTTGACAAGTCGTAAGGTAACGTGGGACTCGATTGGAGAAAATTGCTCGTTAAGGACCTCTTGTGACGCTAACGTCGCTGTGTTCGGAATCTATGCAGTTTTGAAATTTATTTTCATACGAGAGTCCGAAGTGTAGGATTAACCACTCGTATATAACAACAGTGCCTGTATCATTACTGCTCTTGGAGACAAAAATAATAATCTGCCTTAATATGGTTTATTAACAACCAGCAGCGCATCAGAGCAACAAGCTCTGTTCTCAAGTGAGCAGTTCATGACCCGTCTCAATTTGTCATTGCACTTTTATTGCTTAAATTTTACAGATACCAAAATTATACTGGTTTCATTGTGCGTATTTTTGGCCGGGAACTTTGTAGTCGATGTATGTTGTTATGCTTTGCAACAGGGATATACGATGTGGTTAACATATTTAATATGATACTGTTATAGTTTTTTACAGCTTGATGGACATAGTACATATTTACATTTTTGGATATTTCCGAATGAAAATCAGACAAAAACAAGAAATGCCGAGTCTATCCATCTACCTAGGTTTGTTTGTTTAGATTGTTGTTGCTCTTGATATCACAAAAGTTTGCAATCAGCTATGGCATGCTCCCGTCTTATGTAAACTTACATCTTATGGCCTCCTAGAAAAGCGTCGCAGATGGGTAGGTAAGCTGATTTTTTCTCTGGCCGCAAGATATCCGCGGTAATTGACGGCTTCTTCTATTCATCCTACAATGTGGATGCGAGTGTTCTCCAGGCATCGGCTTTGGCACCGATATTATTTCTATTGTATATCCTTTTCTGTACGATCAATCCTATCAGCTTTGGTGATGATAGCACTCCATATGCAGGAATTCCTAGTGTCAATCCGATCTCGAGAGAAGAAGACTAGCAGTAACTCCCTGGAGATATGGAGGTTATCACTGCTTGTCGCGGCAATCTGGTACAATTTAATTCTCTAGCGCTCATTCGGCTTCGATGAATGATCAAGTTCTACCAAAGAAACGTTCATTCCGGCTGGTGCGAGTCACCGAGGACGTGTTCAGGCACGAACACATCTCTTCAGTCGCGGCAGCTAGACTATTTGTTTAGGGCTAAGAAAAAATTTTCTCCACATGACCTCCTCACTCTGTACAAGACCCAGATAAGACTTAGCTTCGAGTACTGCTCACATATTTGGGGTGCTGCCGCCCCGACTGCATTATAGGTGCTTTTGAAAGGGGGGCTGTCCGACTGATCGCCGATCTGGTTTTCATCAACCGTTATGTCAACGGGTTTTGCTCCTCTGATCTACTAACCTTAGGCAGTTCAAAGATCGGATTAAACGAAGCAGCCGCGGTGCCCCGGTATTTAGACTTCTATCTACGCAGATGCTTTGATACTTAGGTATGAAATGCTTTTTCGTTTCTGGATTTGGAGAGCTCGTGCTATTATATAAAAGCAAACATTTCGACTAGCACTTACATTGTATTTTGATTTATTCCATTCATAAAATTTCTGTCGAGAAGCTCGTGCCAATCAAAAATACCTACTTGCCTAGTCTTTCTAGGCTCCGTTCCAATATCTATAGATATTATGTTTTCATTGAGATACTACGCAACTGCTCCTGATGTACCTATTGCATTTTTTCTGGCTGACCTTCGAGAACAAATACTTTGAACAGCACAACAATATTAGTGATAACCTAGTTTTTACTTTCAAAATATAGTTCATATGAGAGGATGCTGTGTTAGCCAAAACGCCAATGAAGTTCTTCGTTCAACAAATGATATTGATTTATGGCAAAGACAAACAAAATGGGTTAAAGAGAGTGCGACATTGTAAGGTTCATGAGAAGATTTTATCTATCTAAAACTAAAACAAGAATCCATGTTCTACGGACTGCCGAATTAAAGTGAAGGTGTAGAATTTAAAGTTTACTGTTCTGTCGTTCTGTCACTGTATTTTAAGATGTACTGCTCAGCTTTCGAGAAATTCTTACATAATGTTACTACTATGCCAAGAACTCAAAAACTTTTTAGTTTTTTAAAATCGGTCCAGTGGTGGCGGAGAAAAAACCAATAAACAAACTTCACTTTTTGACGTTTCATAGGCTCCTGATAATTTTCATAATCTTCTTGTAGGGGTTAAAAGTGGGGTGTTAGGGGTTGTATGGGTGTGGAGGAGGGTAACTTGCAATTTTTTGGAGTTAGTATATTTATACGTTTCCAATCTCAGTAATTTATTTACCTATTAGGCATATTTCATATATAATTGACTTTCCAGTACATTTCCTCTTAAAACTAGAATGATGTGATGCAAATACTTTCAACACTTGCGTACGAGCTCATCGCGATTATTGTGCACAGTGGCGTAGCATGGATTAATCCAACGAATCAACCTACTTGGCGCAATTTTTTTGGATTCTTTTGAAAAGTGGTATAAAGTCAGATGATATTTATGCGAAACTTTTCTACAAAGCACGTGTCACATAAATGTTGTTTATTTCGTTTCTATTGTTATTACTCCTGCGGTAATCGTAAAGGTTACAACTTCAGCGGCAATTTGACCATCATTACTGATAATGAGAAAAGCGTCCCGCGTCTAATGGATTTCAATAAGTCGTATCCGCTCTATAAATATCTTTATATGAGCTTAAATCAGTTTGGAACTGGTCCAGGATATATATTTAAAATACATGCACTTGATCGTATACCTCTGAAACTGAACGAAAACAATAATAATATGATAAATAACAACTCATTACGCCTCACATGGCTTATGTTATCATGCAAAACAAAGGGTGTAAAATGTTTGTTATTTCCTATAATTTTTGCCGTAACTATCAATTAACGAATATGACAACGAAATAGAATGAGTTTTTGGTGAGGATGCGCCATACTTAAGAAGCATCGAGTTTTTAAATTTCAAACGTGGCTTAATTCAGCTGTCCGTGGTTGACTGTCTGTGGTCGGGCGAACGAAAGCTATGTTATTAGCTTGTTCAATGACGAGTAGACCGTATCTAATACAGGATCAGAATCCTCGGCATCCAACGGCCACTGTCGTAACCCGGCTGACAGTGCGAACTGGCATACAGTTCCAACAGACAGTTTGCTTTCATTTTCATTGTGGGCGACTTCGGTAATAGATGTCACTTTGTGCTGTCTTATTTCGTGGCTTATTATGAGATTAAATGAACTAATAAACAGGCCTGTTAGCTTGATCAGTCGCATACTGCTTTCTAGCCTTTTTTGCATCTGTTCTTTTCTGTTTTATTGGATTTGTGTAATTCCAACTGCATCTTGGGAGTCGTGTGAGACCATTGAGAGAGAGAGAGAGAGAGAGAGAGAGAGTAATGGGAGCGCTGGTTTGATTAGCTCTCGCTTGTGATACAGTGTATATTCACTGCTACATAACGATCTCCCTGAATACGTTCAGGAAGGACGCTTATCGATTTTTGCAGATGGCACAGCAATTACTATAGTATCAGATACAGCGGACCATTTATTGGTTGATGAGATGCGTGCTTGGTGTTTCCGAAACCGATTAATTTTAGATAACTCGAAGACAATGACAATACAATACCATCTGTGTAGCTCTCAGTCTCTGGATCCAGGCTTCACAAGCAATATTAACCTTAGCTGATGAGGTGGAATTCTTAGGATGCATTTGAGTATCCTGTCCTGGCCTGCTCACATATGTCGCTCAATATTTGTCTCTCAACAGCGAATTATCCGATTACTGTTTAATCTTACCTCTAGAGCCTTGTAAACCGACATTTGTCAGAGAGCGTGTATTGACTCTATCATGTATTAACAATTACACTGTCTTATGTACTACTGGGATGAATTTGACGTCTATACTACCCGCCATAATCTCAACACGAGACACCGCAGAACAGCCAAATTTTGAAACTTCACCCATCTTCAATTGTATTTCGTTTTACAACAAATTGCCTATTAGCATGAATAGTCTATACAAGGCAAAAAATACTGAACTGTTTCTGGCAAGCGTATGAAGTCGGGTACGCATCTGAGCACGAACGCGAATGAGACAACCCGAGGACGAACCATTTGCCTCGTATACGAGAGTTCGAGTTCCTGAATAGTGGATGCACGAGGCGTCGTACAGCATCGATCCATAGCGAGCATTCTTGTATTTCAGTTAGCTTTTAAAATATGGCCGATTTAGATTCTGGTGGTTAACGCTTATTTTATAGTTTTAATTCGAATTGACAAAGAAAATCAAGAAAAAAACAAAACGATGGTCGACACAATGAAAGAAGATGATGAAAATAGCACAGGATTGTTAAAGGATCTCTTGGCCGATGAAACGGCGGGTTTTTCAGAAACTTTTCCAGAATGTCTCAAGAATAGATCGACAAGACACATCCTATAGAAAAGGATCGGGTGCCTCATTCGCGTTCGTACTCATATGCGTACCCGCCTCTATAGCTGAAGAGAGTTTTTGAATGACACTCTTTAATCTTAAATAATATTTCCTTTTTTCTTCTTTAATTATGTTTGTATTTATTTCCTGTGTATTATAAGTTTTTATATTATAGGGCGTTTAATGTATTTTTTGAAGTTTATACTGGTGCACTATTTATTGTTGTTTATATTTTGTACACTATATTCATCATTTGTACCTATGTACACATTTGTATCTAATTGGTTAAAACAAACAAGCTGTGATGGAAATAGAAATAAATAGTTTTTTCATACAGAACAAGACTTATGTCTGAAATAGAGGGTTATGTTTTTCGCGTGTGTATGTATGTATTCTATTTTACGGGCCTCAGACCAAATGGTTTGATGAATTTTAATATTCGAGGTGTGCTTTGATTCTTCTTAATAGCACAATCAAATCTTCATTTTCTTAGTTACTGCAGTCGGGTTTTCATTTTTTAAAATGCATTTGTTCAAATTTGTACTGACTCTTTTGTTTCAGTTGGCCAAAATGACATCGAACGGTGAAAAATGCGGTATAAGTTCCTTACTTCCCATATCCTGTCGCGGAAGGGCTGAAGCCTTCGCCAGAAGTTTGCACACACGACTGAAGAATCTCGGATCACATAACGAAAATAACACGGATGAAAGTAGTTGGCTGGCAGCACACGAAAATTCTATCGCCACATCGCAACCTAGACAAGTTCTCGATTTTTGCTTGTTTGAACCCACAGGTACTGATATTATTCTGTACGGTCTCGTATACTCGTAGCTCATTCACTACGTTTATATTGAGGATTTATGCAGGATGATCTTAGGATGAAGATTCAAAATTCCCGATCATCCTCTTAACAGGATGAGGTAATCCTCCTAATAAGTAGGATTGGATTAAGATTGGGATTTGTTCCTTACCGATGCAAACACTTTAATTCGATTTCAGAAATTCTGTGGACAACCTCACACTAAAGCAAGTGTCACTTGTCACCTTATGAAGGATTGAAAGTAGATGATCGTAGACCCAATCTGCTACCATATAAACGCCTCATGTTAATTCTACTCAGTACAAGCGTAGTGATTGACAGAAATTTTGATCAACAGATCTGGCAATATTACTCCCCACCGACGCGCCATGGAGAAGTCGCCAGCATCTATAGCCAGACTATTCTTGTGAGGTGTATGTGATATATAGGGCGAAAACCTTGGGTCTAGAAATACACCCTCAGTAGTCAGCCTTAACATCTTTACAAAACACTTCTTGTACCATTTCGTTGTTGTCACTTGTACCAATGATTTTTAAAATGTCGATAAATTTGCGTATTTACTTCGCTACACGTGTCCACATAAATTGTTTTGTGTGATTAATTCTACATTCAAAGTTACCTTTCGTCGTATTTGTATTGTTGCGTTATTAGAAATCTCATTAATGAAACGTTACTTGCCCGCAGGAAGCCCCGAAGATCCTGAAATAGAAATAGAGGAGAAAGATATAAATAGACGGCTAAATGGAGATAGCCTACTTGATTCAGGAAATGATGATTGCCTGAGACCTTCCGCCAAAAACCTAAAATGCAGCTCAGACAGCGACAGCGACGTATTCTATGACATAGAAAACGATTCAGAACAAGAATATAGACTAGAAAACGGTAACACAGAAGAAGGTAATCTAAAGAACGGAACAAACTCGGAAGTCAGCAAAATTCATCTTGAAGCGCCACTACCAGAAAAACAAGCAAATAGAATAAACTCGGAAGTCAGCAAAAGTGAACTGGAAGAGGTACAATTGAATGAAATAAATCAAGAAGCGCATGAAACAAATGAAAATGGGACAAACGAATCAGCTGGAGATGGGGGAGGAGAAAAAGGAGGGGGAACCGAATCACCTGAATCATATGATGAAGTTACTGAAAGACTAAACGGCTCATCGACCCAGGAAGAATTTCACTCGTTAACAGATGATGTGAGCGACAAGCTGTCAAGCCTTAGTTTGAGAGATGAAGACTGCAATTCTGATAGTGTAGATGTAACGAATGAAAAACCGTGTGATATTGAAGGTAAGGATAGGAAAGAAGACTGCTCAGAAAGTTCAACGGCTCAACAGTCAACTACGGAGATAAGGGTTAATGGAAGTCCTGCGGAGGAGAAAGAAAGAGATAGTAGTGAAGAAGATGAAGATAGACCTCGAGTAAGAAGATGCTCATCGCTGAAAACTGGGAAAACGCCGCCTGGAACACCAGGTCGGAAGAAAATAGTCAGGTTAGTTTCTTGGTTCTGTGTTATGAGCAGGGTTAAAAGTTGACCCCTAATCCAACACCTTGCTGTTTTTGCGGCGATTTATCTGAGTTCTGAACTTCTAACTTCCTTCAAGCCGAATTTATACAAAATGTCGTTCCTCTTACAGTCAACATCCTCAATGGGCTTCTTGACAAAAATCTATTTTCGCAAATTATTAGGCATATTTGGTATCTCTTAAACTAAATTCTAGAAATATTGTTTGTATTTTCTAAATAGCAGAAATGTCTACTTTGGTTCTCAAATCCCCAAACATTCTGACGTCATTTTATGACGACATTACTACTTTTGGTGCAGCAATATTGGCACCGTTAAACAAGCGAATAAGTAGCTTGTAATTCCAGAAGTAGCCTATTCCTGCAGATTTTGGTCTCTTGATACCTGCTGGACTATGAAATATATATTTTCTCTCAGATTTGCAGATGCCTTGGGCCTAGACCTCGCAGACGTGCGAACTTTCCTCGATGAGATTCCAAAGGTACCAACGTCAGCTTACGAAGATCTGAGTGTTGACCTGACTGACTCACCCTCAGACACCAGTCTCGACAACAAATTATCCTATCCAAAACCAGAGAAAGTGCTGATGCCTCTCTTTCAACAACCTGGAGGTCTTTCCAACTTTCTGGACTTGGTTAGGGACAATTTCGTGTGTTTGGAAAATGCCATTGTCGACGATCCTTTTCTTTTGACGATAAAAGGGTTTGTGCGGGTGCGGAATCTGGACTTCCACAAGTCTGTATATGTGAGGTGAGTAAAGGTAAATTGGACTTTGAGAGCTCTAAGAATTTGAAAAGTCTTGATAAATTGGAGATTTTTTAATGTTGGGAAATTTTGCAGTTTTGAGAATCTTGAATCCTAAGAGAATTCGGAGAATTTAGACAATTTAGAGAATTTAGAGAATTTAGAGAATTTAGAGAATTTAGACAATTTAGAGAATTTAGACAATTTATAGAATTTAGAGAATTTAGAGAATTTAGAGAATTTAGAGAATTTAGAGAATTTAGAGAATTTAGAGAATTTAGAGAATTTAGAGAATTTAGAGAATTTAGAGAATTTAGAGAATTTAGAGAATTTAGAGAATTTAGAGAATTTAGAGAATTTAGAGAATTTAGAGAATTTAGAGAATTTAGAGAATTTAGAGAATTTAGAGAATTTAGAGGATTTAGAGGATTTAGGGAATTTCGAGAATTTCGAGAATTTAGAGAATTTAGAGAATTTAGAGAATTTAGAGAATTTAGAGAATTTAGAGAATTTAGAGAATTTAGAGAATTTAGAGAATTAGAGAATTTAGAGAATTTAGAGAATTTAGAGAATTTAGGAATTTAGAGAATTTCAGAGAATTTAGAGAATTTGGAATTTAGAGAATTTAGAGAATTTAGAGAATTTAGAGAATTTAGAGAATTTAGAGAATTTAGAGAATTTAGAGAATTTAGAGAATTTAGAGAATTTAGAGACTTTAGAGAATTTAGCGCATTTAGAGAATTTAGAGAATTTAGAGAATTAGAGAATTTAGAGAATTTAGAGAATTTAGAGAATTTAGAGAATTTAGAGATTTAGCGAATTTAGATTTCGAGATTTAGCGCTTTAGAGAATTTAGCGAATTTAGAGATTCGCGCCTTTCGAGCTTTAGCGCCTTTCGCGCATTTAGAGCCTTTCGAGCTTTCGAGCCTTTAGAGCCTTTCGCCTTTACGCGCCTTTCGCGCCTTTCGCGCCTTTCGAGTTTCGCGCCTTTCGCGCCTTTCGCGACTTTAGCGCCTTTGCGCCTTTCGCGCCTTTCGCGCCTTTAGCGCTTCGCGCCTTTGGCGCCTTTTGTTCTGATTATTATGAGAATTTTATGTATTCTAACAGTTTCTTATCTTGTTGCAGGTACACCTTGAACTCCTGGAAGTCGTATGCTGACGTACAGGCAACCTACGTAGCGAACTCCTGCGACGGGTTCTCAGATAAATTCTCATTTGTGATCTACGCACACTCGCTGTCTGTAGGGCAAAGGTTGGAGTTGGCATGTCGGTTCCAGTGTAAAGGGTGCCAGTATTGGGACAATAACAACGGCAGAAACTACTGCTTTCAGTGCCTACCTGTCATCAACCATACCTCCACGACACCAATCACGACTGGTCTGGACTGGGGCAATACAGCCAGCTTTTACTAGTAAGTGTTGGTTGGTTTTGATGTGGGAATGGTAATTGATAACAAAGGAAGTAAAGACAAGCCATGTTTCTTGGGGCGATAACATATTGTCACGTCAAGTGAATTCATGGTGTATGCGTAAGCTCATGAACTTATGTATATCTTAAATTTTGATTTTTGCTTCTCAATATTGTGCTTCCGCCTCTAGAAACATGATATCCTCCGAGGACGTGCAGTATTTGCCAGAGAAACGTGATGACATGACTTCATACCTACCTAGAATATGGTGAAACAGCCTGGTCTTTACATCCAAAATTGGAATTCTAGATAAAGGTACGCGTCTACGGGTCCATATTCCACGTATTGGCCAGTTCACGCTAAACAGATTTTAGGATTCTTTGCATTTTAACAAATAAAAGTGAGTCTACTTATCCGCGTCGGATGCACGCCACGCATTGCGCTATAGTATTTCTGAAAGGGCGGAAACTGAAAGATGTGCCATTAAAAAATTGAAATTTGGATTGACTATAAGAAATAAACGAAATGAATACTTTTTCAAATTTCTGGTTTAATTGGAAATGTTGAACGCTGAAATTTAAGAATGAAACACAATATCATTTAAATGACTTCAACGTCTGGCCCGACAGTATCTCATCCGACTAACGAAATGTTCAAGTACTTTTTCGGCCTCAAGGTCTTAATTGCCTCTGTATGGTTATCATAACACTTATACTTAAAGGCTTCTCACAAAAAATAGTTCAACGGGTTCAAATCGCAGCTTCGCATGCCATCAGAATTTGGGCTGATCCTTCGGCTTTCGAAAACGGTGACCAAAATTTCGATAGGTGAGTTGCCTACATGGCAAGTGTGCCATCTTGTTGAAGTGAAATGTCGTGCATATCATTCTTTTCAACTTCTTAAAGCAAAAGTTTGTTGAGCATGACATGGTAATGCTTGCCGTTGACTGGGGTAGTACCTCCTTGCCCATTTTCAAAGAAAAATGGCCCAGACCAGCACACCAAAGAAACGTACCAGTCACTCATTGCAGATCCATTAGATTCTCCTTTACGATGTGCGGATTATCTGATCCCATATGCGGAAGCCTTGTTCAATAATTATTGCCTCCGTGGTGCCCACTAGATGAACAGAAAACGCATTCAGTTGTCACGAGGCTCTAGTACTTGGACTAATTGAACCTTGTAAGTCTTGATACCGAAGTCCTTATTGCCAAATTGATAAATGTCGCTTGCCGAGAATGATGTCGAGTTGATGTTGATTGAAGATCACGGAAATTCTAGGTAACAGCAGCAATGTTTTCGACTGACCGCACCGAACAAGAGCCTACACGGAGTATATGGCTTGGGACTAAGAAGTAATTCTTTCTACATAACCTCCTCACTCTGCACAAGGAATAAATTTAGCCTTGAGTACTGCTTACATGTTTGGGGTGTTGCAGCCCCGACTACATTATCCATGCTTTTTAGGCCTGTCTAATTGATCGAAGATTTTTCTCTAACGGACCCCTTCGCACCGAAGGGCAGTGTACGATCTAATTCTCTTTTACTGCTATGTCGACGAGCGTGATGCGCCGGTCAGATAGGTCCTTTGGCTCCTAGGCTATCGAGATTGTGTAACAACCTACCTGGGTAGTTCTACTAAACTTGGACAGTTCAGAAACCAGGAGGCAGCGTTCCTTGAGGTATGAGCTGGTACCACGACTTGTGATACAATTTACATTCATAAATAGCTTCTCTGACTCCATTACAATAGGGTTATTACTCAAAAAGGTGACCCTCGTTCAGACATCCACCAGGTCGGCAGTCCATTTGCTGCAAATTCACTGGATTCATGCCAGAAAATAATCCGTTTAGAACGAACCTACGGACGCGTACCTTTAGTCGCTATCACTAACTAGTTGTTTAGATTAGAAACGCTCGTAGGTAGAAATACTACTTTCTAACTTATAACCATAAACATATAATCCGTTCTTCATTCACAAATTAGCAACAGTTTCAGCTTATTTCTCGCATATAATATCCAACGCTCCTAACTGCCTGTATATTCTGCGAAAGCTTGCATGTTAACGGTTAAACCAGGACTAAGTACGCTCTTCATAGTTTTAAATTATAGCTTATACGTCTGATTTTGTTTTCTCTATCTAACATAAAACTTCAAAACCAGTTTACAACTTCGATTAAGAGTTTCAAAACGGTCGGACCTTTAGCCTATTCAATACAGTAACGTAAATCATATGACCGTGACCGTGTCTCTGAATTTTCATAAATTACAGGCTATAGATACAAACGATGCAAGTGCCTATAATTTTGAATATAAATGTCATTATTGAAGAGCTAATAAAATTAAGCATGGTACTTCAAGTTATCTCAGGTTATAATAAAAATCATTTTAAAACTATCTCCGCACATGTAGACTCCCACGTGCTTCGCTTATACGCTTGTTCTCCTCATATTTGTTCTTATTGTTTGTATTTTTTATAACCATGAAATATGTGGAGATCAGTAGACTACATGCATGTTTACGAGGGATCTGTGTAATAAACTTAGTGAATAGAATTTTCTGATAAATAGTCTCAAAAGCTTAAAGGAATTGCAAAATTACCATTTTCCGTTGCTACATGAGAATGAAAATTGGTATAATTTGGATAATTTGTGGCACTGAATGCGAATACGGTCATAAAAATTCTTAAAATATTGTATCTGAGGTAAAAAATAAGTTACGAGTTGCTTGGTACCACTAAACTACATATAAGAAGACATTTTCTCGTCAAAAATGTACCGGGTGTTTCAAATTTGATTTTTACCGTTGGGATCTCAGAAATGGTAAGAGATTCGAAGTCGACTAAGTGAGAGGAAAGTTGCGCATTAGGGTAACGTGTAGAAAGTTTCGTAATTCCGAGTCTTTCCGGAGAGAGACTGGAAAAACGGAATTTTTTATTTTTTCCTGATTTTATTTGTGATGGGAATTCAGTATAAAACTCAGAATAACACCACCACTTTATTCCTCTACAAGATAATATAATTAGAATTTCTATATGGCGTTTCGTCTCTTGTCATCAATCTCAACATTATTTTTTCTTGTGGACTCCAAATTGTATTTTTGCACAAACGAATCAAATTTTCATTCTCCTTCCAAAAATTTGTAATATGTCACACATTGCTATTGCCAAACCTGAGTTTTGTTGAACTTGAAAATGACAAATGATGTTTATCTGATTAAATCACCAATGAGTGCTTCCGTTTTATCTGTATTGTGTTTGAAGGACATTCAGATAATTTGCTCATTCATCGAATAAAACGTAGAGGGGGGAATCAAAATTGAGATACTTTTTTGTAAAGGCAAAATAAAGTATTTTTTGTTTTAAACGAGCGTATATTTTTAAATAAACTTGCGATTTGATGCTCGTAGCATACTCTAAAATAAAAAAATACAATAGGTACGCTAATTTGAGATACTATTCACGTTTTCGTCTGAAGATGAATCATCCAACTTAAGGCTTTCCATTCTGAACTTGAACTGGAGGAGGAATGTATCCGAATCCTTTTGAGGCTTTTAAATAACCCATCTCCTTATTCTTTACAGCATTGACGGACTTTATCATGTCATTTGGGTTCCACTTTTTGTATTTCGGTGGCATTTGCATTATAAAAATAATAAAAGAATTAAACATGAATCTCTTGAGATAGTCTCAAATAAGGAACACTTGGGTATCTCAAATTAGGAATTTTCCGTTAAAAAGTTCAGACAAGCTTATTTAGGTTAGGCATCTAATAAAATCACAATATTGTAACAGAAAATATATAAGGTATTAGTAAACTACTAAATTTGTACCAGACAATTGTTCTAAGTAACTTACCTTATTTATCTCGCACTATTAAAAATATTTTTAGCTCTGAACAAGTAACAAGTTGTGATGTCTCAGCAAACCATGTGCAAAACTAAACTGTAAACACATATAGAATACTACTGCGTCTTAGTTCACAACTTTTTGGTATTAGTAGAAGATGGTGCTACAAAGATACAAAGTTACACCACTGTCTCAAATTAGGCGCTTGTCTTAAATTTGCTTCCTTTCCTCTATACAGGGTGTCCCGAAAAAAGTGTGCAATATTCTACCAGCGGTTTCTAGAGCTCAAAATAGGAAGACAAGTTTATATGAACATAGGTCGACAAACGTCCCCTAAGGGCGCTACGGTCTTTTAAAAGGGCTCCCCTGAAGATGGTTTTTCCTTAATATTCCCGAAACGTGTTGAGTTAAAGACATAAAATTTTTGTGTGATTCTATTTTTGAAATTCAATTTTAGAATTTGAAAATTTACGGTTTTCTACATAAAAAGGTACTCTTATTGAATATCGATAAATTGTGCCATTTTTGAATAAAATCAAACTAAAAAATTTGTCACATGATAGGAAATGTACTGCGAATTTAAATGAATTGTTGATTATACATAGTTAGCCATGACATGAAAAGTTGTTTTGATTTGTTATGACTTATTTTGACGTTAAGCTGACATTGTTAGCAGTGTAAAATTACTAGATTCAAATCAAAATTTTTATTAAATCGATTTAAAATGCCAAGATTTACAGACAGAGAACTGACTGACATGCATTTTGTCTGCGGGTTTTGCAATGGCAGTTCATTGGCAGCCGTAAGAGACGTATAGGCAGCAGCGGTGGCCGCAGTAGTAGACTCTTCGGTCTCCTGATCAGTCGCCGTGCGCTGTGTGGGTTCGAGTCCCGTCCCAGGAGAAATTTTTCTCTTGGCTATGGATGTTGTGATTGTCCGTAGGTGGTAGACGGTCTCTGACTGTCGAACGCAGAGGTACCACCCGGCGGATCTCGTACACGGGGCCAGAATGTGTGCATGTTGCATGCACACGTGTTCCTTCGCCAGAGTCCGTGTGGCGTTCACCCTTTCCCCTGTATCCCCATATAGCCCCACGGTACCCAATGGGTGTTTAGGCCTTAGGCCTTCGTGGTAGTTGGAGTATTAAAAAAAGAAAAAGGAAAAACCATCTTCAGGGGAGCCCCTTTAAAAGACCGTAGCGCCTTTAGGGGACGTTTTTCGACCTATGTTTATATAAACTTTTCTTCCTATTTTAAGCTCTATAATAAACCGCTGGTAGAATATTGCACACTTTTTTCGGGATACCCTGTATATAGCGTTATTTCAACACGATGGAGGCTTTGTACATCTCACGTCAGTCGTAGATTAACAGTATTGGAATGCAAGATATAAGGCGATATGAAATAAAGGGTGTTCAGATAGGGACGCTCGATGTTTGAACGGCGCGCGCGCCCAAACTGGTGGGGATACAGCTGTCAAATTTTGTGAGGTTATTAAGTTAGTCTTGACATTTAATCATGGAGCAGTACACGATTCAACAACGCGTGGAAATTGTGAAAATTTATCATCAAAACAGATGTTCGGTTCGTGAAACGTTCCGCGCATTGCGTCCAATTTATGGTGCGCATGGCCGTCCTGCTGAGTCCACTATTCGACGTCTGCTCAATAAATTTGAGAGAACTGACTCAGTGGCAGACCAAACAACACCCGTACGGCAACGAACAGTAAGAACAATCGAGAATATTGCTGCTGTGCGAGAGAGCGTGCGTCAAGACCCGAATCAGTCATTGCGGCGACGTGCACAAGAACTTGCCCTTCCAAAGACCTCAACATGGACAATTATGCGTCGAGACTTGAAATTGCACGCGTACAAAATTCAATTGACGCAAGAATTGAAACCGCAAGACCATGGACAGCGCCGTACATTTGCCGCATGGGCTCTAGAGCAGTTGCAAGTCGACCCTGCATTTGCACGAAAAATCATCTTCAGCGACGAGGCGCATTTCTGGATGAATGGGTATGTCAATAAACAGAATTGCCGTATATGGGCTGACCAAAATCCTGAAGTGACTTGCTCAATTGCTATGCATCCTGCTAAAGTGACTGTATGGTGCGGTTTCTGGGCTGGCGGCGTAATCGGTCCATATTTTTTTGAGGACGCTATGGGCAACGCGCTTACGGTCAATGGAGATCGGTCGATACCCATGATTAATGATTTCCTGTGGCCTCAACTGGACGATATGGATCTAACAGACATCTGGTTCCAGCAGGACGGCGCTACGTGCCACACCGCACGCGCAACGCTGGATTTACTGCATGAAAAGTTCAACGGTTTCATTATTTCGCGCGGCGGCGATGTGCACTGGCCACCAAGATCGTGCGATATAACGCCTTTAGACTTTTTCCTGTGGGGCTACGTGAAGTCTCAAGTGTATGCGGATAAGCCACAAACAATTGCAGCATTAAGGGCCAACATCATTCGCGTCCTCGGACAGGTAGACGCTGAAATGTGCGGAAAAGTGCTCGAAAATTGCACCATGCGAATGCACGCTGTACAGCGCAGTCGCGGTGGCCATTTAAACGATATAATCTTCCATACATAATGTCGTCGAATGCTATTTACGATCAATATAGACTTTTAGTGCTGACTTAAATTTTTTTCCTTTTTTTTTCCATTTTAACTTTCGAGCGTCCTTATCTGAACACCCTTTACATAAAGATGTATTGTTCTCCTACGTTTTCAAAGCTACCCCCAAATTATATGATAAAGTAGCATTATGTTCTTCCTTATTCGAGCTAAGACCAATTAAAGGGTTATCGGTTTTTGAGACATTTGAAGTTTTATAGTTTCAATCCGCGTCATGATTTGTACAATATCACATCATTAAATCAGAAATAGAAACTGTTCACCTGTGCTTCGTTAATAAAAACTGAAACAATGGCTGGCTGAGAATATGAAATAAATGACTATCTGATAATTCATAAGCCTACTTAAGAAATTCTGCTTTTACAAGCTTTTACTTTTGAAATAACTAAGATTTGGCCAACTCAATATATAATGTATTAAACATACATGTTTGGAATCAAAATTGAAAACTCTAATTACATGTGCTGGAATCCAATATGGGGTCTATAAGAAAAACAATGTTGATGATTGAAAAGAAGAGATAAAACGTCATTTGAAATTATAATCATTTCATCTTGCATATGCTTTTTATTGTGAAATCCTCTCTCTAATAACGTTTGGAAAAAATTAAAACGATTTTTGAAAAATTCAAGTGCCGAAGTGCCATTTAAGCGACTTCATATCTCTTACCGTTTCCGAGATTCCAGTGGTGAGAGTCGAATTGCAAACACACGGTATAGGAATTTGTATGTACTGACAGGTTGTAATAGGATGAGCCATGAATAGAATGTACTTCTGCATTTCTGAGTTCGTTACTATGGCAATTTTCTGAACCTTGGAGTTACGTAGCTAAAGTGCCTTGACTCACTTAACCAGCGCACTAAACCTTAATGTTAGCGTAGGGATAGTACTTTTGGAGGACCCCTCGTATACGTGCATGTGATTGATAAACGTAAGTAACACGTTTAAATGACTAGATTGAAACTTATAGACGGTTTTGTGCACTATGTAATGAGCTTGATACTTTGCATTTGATTGTGATTTATCGTTTAAAATAATAAACCATGGTGTTGTTATCTTACGTATTTATTATTTGGTATAATTAGGCAACAGTAAGCTGTATTGGTTTGTTCCTAAGGTGATAACCAGGCTTCCGTTAGTATAGGGCATAGCTGTCATTTAACATACCCTAAGAAAATGAAGTTATAGATGTAGTCTTCAGACATCACTGAAAAATATTAGGAAATTTTATACTCGTACATAAATGAAGCTACTTGAGGCATGTAGATGTAAGCCCAGTATAAATAGCAAACAAAAAGGCTTGGAGAGTCTTAAACTTTAGGTGAAGGAATTTATATCAGTAGTTAAGTATACTCAATTATATATTTTATAGCTTCATTTTCTTACATGCTTTTGCAAAAAATGTAGCATTGTTTTGTATTTGCTTTTGGGCAGAAATGCAAAACCTGGACCCTCTTTCACTTCCGTTGACGTCGTAACGACGAAGCATGCGCATTTTTGAATATCATAAAGTTTTTTTTCCGAGAAGATGACAGCAAAAAGGTCGTTTTATGTATCTACCATATTATATTTTATTTTTCCGAAATCGTCGTAGAATCTTCTCTTAAAATTTTTCCCCATGTTCATGAAACATCATCTATGTATATCCGAATAATTCACAACCGGCCAAGATTAATCATTTTCAATATCATAATCAGTTTGTTCCTAAACAATATTTGGACATGATAAACACAGGAGATAATTTTTCAACATGAAATTCGCATTGGAACGATTTTTTCCGCCTTATTATCAGACAGTTTCGTATATTCACGTTTACGAACATACTGTCTCGAAATTCACGTTCTTTATGCACACCTCATTATCGGTCAAAAATAAATTGTGGTCATCTTATCATAGAAGGTCACAGGGTTTAGTGATGGCCATTGTTTGTTTCCTTAATGTTAATTTTATCGATGAAACACTGAATAGCTGTTGAAACACTTGGTTCGTAGCATATTTATAGTAGTTCTGGATCCCATTTTCTTATGATACGTCTATCACATGTCAAAAGATATAAATTCGGTAGTTTCAAATTTAGACATTCAATAGCTTGACAAATACATATTTGTTAGTGTTGTACCAATTTTTTTTGCGGTACATCCCCCAAGCCACCATCATTCACAAAACTTAAAAATGCGCTATCCGAAATTTGATCATTGTGACGAATGAATACAGAAGAGTAATTTTAAAAGTTGTTGTATATATTCCCACACCCACCGCTAATTTATTCAACTTTACGCTTTTTCCCATTAAAGTTTGCCCATGACTTCCAAATCAAAATCAATCGGGCGTTTGTTTCGAAATGCCTTCCTTTTTTGCTGTCATTCTCCGTTTTTTTACAAACATAATGGTTTCGTAAATACATTCAGTTATACTTCGAAGTTAGCTGAAATCACAATTTCAAGAGGTATCATATAGTAACAGCCAATGACTACGGCTTTGAGAAAGGATTTGCTTAGACATTAGGAGTAATAAAAACTACACCACAACTACAAATTCTTGGTTAAGGTCTCTCTGATCCAGTTTGGTCTCTCATTTATTGTTGCTTATTTGGTGAGGATTTCAATAAAACAACAGAAATAAACTTCTATAGCAGGCAAACTCTCAGGCAAGAAAAATATCATTTCAAAGTAGTCAATAGTGTTTACAACTCATTCAGGGTGTCCCAACCGTGCGAGGCAGGGAGTGCTGCTCCTAAACAAAAACTATTCAAATAATTATTATATATGAAGGGAACACTGGAAAAAATATGGATGCCACAAATTTGATGTTTTGTAGCTAGAACTGGCAACATGTAGTCTTAAGGCAGTACAATCCCATGTGGTATCGAAAAAACGCAAAAACAGTGACAGTCCGTAGTTATACCCAATTGAAAACTTGCCGTGCAGGGGAAAGAAGATGAATGTCACAGCCGTTCTATAAAAAAAAGATGAACGTCCACTGATCGTCACCGAAACTAGTAGCTACTACAACAATTTACCATACACCAATCTGCGACGAAATAAATAATCGTTAAATAATCATTTTTAAGCAGTTACCATTCATTTTGTTTTGTTTGTTCTATATTCTTTTGAATATAGTTTTTTTTGTTCATTGTTTTTTCTTTTCCCAATTAAATAAATAGTTATGTTTGAGCTATTGAGGCTAAAAAGTCACCTTTTCCTCATGTCTTAGGCGCTGTGTAATAAATTTCCTGTTAAGGTTGTTCTCATATTAGAACAGATCGTAAAACTCAGAGAGGCATTCTGCTGGTTAATGAACCATTAGATTTTAGAGGGTATCGCTTACGGTACAACCAAATATATAGAAAGTGTTTGATGTTGAACACAGAATCGAAGACCTCGAATGTAGATGACATGTAGCAGAGAGACCGAGAAGGGTTCCTAAACATCAGTGAACATACAGTAGAAAGTGTGAAACAAACATTGATTCGAAAACTTCACTTGTCATCAAGGTGGCATTTTTGAACATTTTCTTTAGTAGTACAAATATTTTAAATTTCAGTTATGTTTACCTATAGGCGTCATTTTCAGACATCTTTAAAAATTAATTTTGTTATAATATCAATCTGTAATAATGAATTACAACATAAAAGATTTTAATTACTTGGTCTCTTTTTGTTTCCATTGATGATGTGACTTGTTTGATTAGACAAATATCCGAATTTTTGAAACATATAGCTATAACGTAGAAGCTAGTAACAACCTATTATTAAAAAAAGGTAGTTGAAATGACGATCCGATAGTGGGAAATTATACTTATTTTATTTACTTTTTTTACGAAAAAGTACATTTTGCGTGATTGACCATCGTATTGATTTAAATGATTCAAAAAATTGATGAATTAGGCTTAAGTTCAGTAAAATAAAATATTTTTGACACAAAATTCACTACTTCAACCATCAAGATAGCAGGTACGCAGGCTATCAAACTATGATGTTCTTAACTAATTATCAAAACTCATTTTTTCGTTTTTCTTTTAACAGAGTTTATCCGAATTTAAAAAAATAACCTTGATATGTGGCTCAAAATTCGGGCTCCCTGTGTTATTATGAATATTCAAGAAATATGCATCCAGATATCGTACATAATGATCCATAAATAGTTTTCTTTGAATAGTTTTAGCTTAGAAGCAATGCTTCATCCTTCCACGGTTGGGACACCCTGTATAGGACTGTTGTCAAGTTACTGGATCCTTATCAGTCAATTTCAACTTTAGACAGACTTTGTTTTCAACAAAGGAACTTCATATTCTCAGTAGTATTCCTTATGTTCTGGAAACACCTAATGTTGCACACATATCGCTCTAGAAAATGTATACGTTGTAAATGGCTGAAAATGAGCATTTCTTTGCGAATAAGAGTGCTATACGAAATACGGCTGAAACGGTTCCAGAAGCCCTGATTGACAACGATAATCAGAAGCAATGGGATGAACCGCAAAATTCGAAACCTCAGGTCAAAGCGATCAAAAAGCAAGTCAAGTGGTATTTGACCGCATTCTTTTTCTTCTTAATTCCTCGATTCTTACCGGTTTCGTCCGTCTTTAATGTGTCCACATATGAAGAGCCGAAAGGCATAACGATACATTAATGTATTGGCAGATCTGTGACTGATATTTTTCTTTATTTTTTGAGAGTCCCGTAGAAGTTGTAATTTATTTTAATTTGAATAAATTCCTGATAGTCATGGATACCATGGTTTTGGGAAGTTTATGAGGACGAGAACTTTTTTGAATTCCATTCACTGCAGAACCAGAGTAGATGTAAACGTAGTACTGTATGTGTGATACTCCAAAGCTGAAGAATTGTCCAGGATCGTATTCAAATCCTTCTTGCAGTATCGTAGTTACTTAAAGGAAAGATCGTCCTTTCGACTTCCTAATGACATCCTATGCAGAATTTTCATTACATACTCAAATATTGGTCTAGCACACTGCCGAAATGTTTAGATATGAACATACATTGTGGATACTTTGATGGTATTACTGTTAGGTTAAATATAGGCCAAAGTCACAAATTTTTCATCGCCATTGTTAATGACTGTATCATTTGGGCATTGTGGTTTTAAAAACTTAGAAGTCATACCTGTATAATGTTGATTTCAGCTAATTTCCCCCAGAGCGATTATCAATCATACAATAAATAAGCAAATGTTCCAACAAGCGCCACGTGTCATTGCAGGGTTGCCAAATATCAAATTTGACCTTCACGATATTTGGCGAAGGTTGCGCATGCCTGCCGACCGTAGAAAGCTTCTAACCTAGGTGTGTGTCTAGCCAAGATGGCGGCGATGAAACTCTTACCGACGAAACTCACCTTCAAATCACAACTCCAGATATCCAGGACTACATTTTGAGTTGTCTGCCTGTCCAGGAAGTTAACGCGAAGCAATATAGCAAGAAGACGGACCTCGTTGGTGTTTTGTTTATTTTATTACTCTCTATTTTGTTTTTGTATGTACAGAAGTCAATATATTTTACGAAGTAGTATTTTTATAAAGAAAATGAATTGGTGACTATAATTGACATGTCACTCGTAAGTTTTCGCAAAACGTGTGGATGCTGTTATCGATTGCAGTCAAGTTCCGAAATGGTAGTAGGATAATTTGTAATGATAGTATCCAAATACGGCGTTCCATCCTTCCATCTAATATATAAAAAATAATGTTTTATTTACCCTCAATAAATCTGTGCTTCAAAAGCAGTGCATAGTATATAAGAGTTCATGCACAGAGCAGGTAGTTGAACTATAGGTGACTGTCAGCTGTCGCAAATGCTTAAATTTCAGTCCGAAGATACTTGTTGATCACAGGCTGTAAAATAAAGAAAATTGGTGAGTGCTGTTGTCCCATAATATTGTTTCAATTTTTTCCGCTAAGCACGAATCTGATTTCATACTTGGAGTTAGATATAGAAATATGAATCGAATCCCAGTTCTGACTTCAGATTCGTATTCAGCAAGAAAAAGTAGATGAGAATATATAGCGGGACCTCCAGCGCATACCACTTTTGTATTTTGTGGACCTGAGGTAGAGTGTATTGTTGTCAGCATCAAGTTGAAACTGAAATGTTTTTAAAGTATGTATGTGTGTGGTGCCGTGGCTATCACAATGCAGGCAGCAATGTACTTTACCATTATTAATATGTATTTGTTGGTTGAGTACTTGTAACTGAAATAAAGTGAGGGTAGTACTAGGTAAACATCCTTCTTTGTTAACTAATCAAGGTCACCTGACGTAACTCAGGTCATAGCAAATTTTAATAGGGGTGGACGTCGATGTTATAGGTCATTCAAAGTTTCATTAATATGGTACTTTAGTTCCGAATTGGTTACCCATTTCACATATGTCTACATTTACACCTAGTTTGACTGAGCTATGAATCAATGTTCTAATCTTCCCCAAACTCGATTGTGCTATTTTGCGCTGAATCACTTAATCTGGGTGTCTATTTTTCGAAACGGGGTATGAGAATAACCAATAGAAAATCTAGAAACCTTTCCGACAGCGTTGGAGGTGTTATTGTTCGTTAGCTAAGTTTGTGAATGCACCCATTTTTTGTTATAAAATATTTCCAGGTTTTTCAAATCATCATGTGTTGCCTCGCATAGTCAAATTCGCTCTAGGTGAGACTCCAGCACGTTTTTTTAGCTCATTTGGAAGGTCTCCTTCAAGTCAGGCTTTGGGCAAATGCATCTAAGGCACCTGTATACTATACCTGGTTTATTAATTTTAATACTACTGTTTCAACATATATTTGACAATAATTGCCAAAATTTACGAGTGATGTGTCTGGTCTATGCAGCAATTTATTATATTTGTATGTTTTTATAGAACGTGATATATTATCTAATTGTTATTACAAAACAAAACTCAGAATGGATTTTATCTATATTTGTAATTATTGTATACATTTTTCGTAGCTGTACAGAAATTCTATTGAAATAAAATGCGATTGTCTATTTGTCTGATTTGTGTTTTTATCACCCACCTTAACCTTGCGTGAAAGAGCTCCTTATTTTTAGATACGAGGTATATCTTCAGTATGGATTTTGTTTCTAATATTGTGAATCATACCAGCACTACAAATAGTAACGAATCCATAATTCACGTCTGGAGGCCCATTCCTCAAAACGAGGGAGTAGAATAACCGAAAAGAAAGAAACCGTGGTCTTATTATTTTGAGATTCGCGTACATTTGTTCCTGTTGTTCATCAAGATAATGACACGGGGAGCGATATCTCTTTTCAAAAACGTAGCATTGAAAAGTGAAAGAGCCATGTTCACTTTCTGTTAGCTATTTTTCCCCCTCGTTCTTAAAAATTGGCACTTTCCAGATTAGATTTTTATTTGGATAATATTTTGAGACCTAAAAAAATATTTTCCCGGCTCGTTCAAAGAAGAAACTGTACCCACACTTTTTGAGGTGTCAGCGATGGGAGTAAACACATTTTCTTCTTTTTTCATTCATACTATATATAACTAAAATAGTCACTTTGAAATGCCCAACTTGATAAAGAATCTTCTCAATTATGCTATATGCAAAATAACACTCAATGGTTCAATTTTTTTACGAAATGAGTGCAAGAAATATTACAAAAATGATTTATTGATATTGAATGATAATATAAGCTCATCCTTCATTGCTTAGGTAAATATATGTTCACGGAAAAACAAATCAAAGTTTATAGTAATACTATTTTATTTAAATAATGTAATAAATTATAACCATGTAAAAACTAACTTAGTCTAGATCACAATGTGCTTTATACAAAAATATTTTACTCAACGAAAAATCATATGACCCAGCGATGGCCTGTTATGTTGACACTAATTCCAAATCTTCTGTACGTACTTATTTGCCAATCCCATTTTTTGAAAAAAAAGATAGACAACTTGTCATCTGATATGACTCAAATAAACATATTTCACATCACGCCATATGCAGGTATCTAAAAAGAAAGTGAAATCTCATACTGTTAAGTCCTGGGTGATTGTATTTCACTTCATATGGTTACTCTATTTTTTGGCTTCTCAGTGAAAACTCTTTTGGCGAAAGAGATCTTAGTCCCTCTTAGTTCTTGTGTACCTATGAACCCAATAATGATTTGAGGTTTTCAAATTCGTTCAATCTACTCTTGACAAATATAGTTTCGACTTTGCCACAATTAAAATGTTTACGAAACTGCATTTCTATTAAAAATAGGTACATTAACCTAATGAACTGCACATTTACTGATCCAACATTGAGCATCGCATTGGACATTAACCAACGTTTGGTAGATTACATAGTGTGTCTATACACATAATGTTGATATTTACAAATTCTTGGTTCGGGGTTAATCGATATTAAATTGGTGTTTGATATTGATATTTTGTTCATTCACGCAGTGATCACTGATTATATTTGATAGATCACGTGATTAGTTTGTATATTCACGGTCAGATTGTGGTAAATAGACGTTGGAATTATATTTATAGAAATACTGTCTGGCCTTGATGAAATAAGCTATGTTTAAAGAGTCTTTATATCTGAATCAAAAAAGGAAAAGAAGTGATTTGGTTGATTATACTTGCATGTATACTGCCGTACTACGAAAAAGTTCATTTATTTTGACTCCAATCCATTTCATTTATTATTACAATTACATTGATCACGTTATTAAACATAAATAGTTAATTAGTTTTTCACTTTGTCAAATATTTCATTTTAACTTCATTTTCTAAGCATAAAAGCAGTAAATCAGTTTATCAAAGCAAAAAAGTAGTAATCTTCAAACTATACCGCTTTTGTTCTATGTATGATACAAGTACTGCCCTTTTACCCTTTTATGGTGGTTGCTCATTTAGTTTTTTCGTGTAGTAATTCTATTATTTGTTATAAAGTATTTATTGTTATAAATAATTATTTTTGCTCGGAAAAAATAAATTTGAAAAATAGTCTTTGTTTTACTTAACATATATAAGACATGCTATTTTTAGTTTATTTATTTTCATAAAATGTAATTACTGAATGCAATCTTATTATTAAATTGAACTATTAGGCGTTGTAAAAGTTTACTTTTGTGTTCTGTATGTAAATCATATCACCATTACAAATAAATTATATGAATATAAAATAAAATTCTGCATTACTCCGCTTTTCCTTTGGAAAAATAATATCAATAGACTACAAAAACTACGAAAAAAGGCAGTACATCTGTTATTGAAGAGTATAAAAGCAATAAATCACATGTGACTGCATTTTGATTCACAACAATTAAAGTTAAAGATGGAATGTCATTTATTTTAGAGCTCAACAACAAGCATGATCCAAAATCACATTTAGATGACTCTATAAGGTTATGTAAGTTTGAAACATTCATTCGCTTTTGTTCTGTTGTAGTAATACTATTTATTTCGTAATTCAGAATTGTGAACTCAAATTTCTCACGATTTCTACACTTTACATCCTTTTAGCTAAGTACGGCAGTATAGCACTCTGAATTGAGGCAAATCATAATCAGAGGACGTAATAATTGCTATCTAATGTTGGCAACGTCCGAATTATCAAAGAAAATGAAGTCTCTCAGACATCATAAAATAATAAGGTTATTTAAAGAGACGCAGACAACTTTTATAGACCAATGAGATCTAATATTTTACAGCAATTCATATAAACTGCTGTACTTCTGTTTGAAGGTTTTCAAGTATCCCCACGTGGGCGCCAGTTTTCACATACTTGCTTGTCGAGTGCTTAATTATTAACTGAAAATCCAAAGCATTTGGATAGAATTACCTCTACAATTAAGACGCATTTCGAAAAGTTTTGGTATTCAGTTTCACATGGAATATCCACAAACAGACCATATCAATGAAGATTCGATGCAATTTTCAAACTAAGTAGACTTGCACATAATGTATATATAATAAAATATCATAATCTGACCTTTTATAAAAAGCTCAGTCTTGGTGTGCCCTGCGGATAATCGAGAGCTTACATATAGTATGTTCTATGTTCCTCGATTTTGTATGTTAGACATATATAGGAAATATCAGCTGGAGCAGATTTTTGAAAGAATTGATATATGTATAACACAATATTTTGTATCTATTTATTTATTTGTATTTATTTTCCTAGAATGTCGGACGACTCGACGAGGGCTGAAATTGAAAATTACCGTGAATTTATAATGATTAATTCACGAAAAAATTGAAAATAACTTCCCAAATAAGGTGGCCCGGAGCGGTATTACAAAAAATCAACTTAACGCTATTAAAATCCCTTACAGTACCATTAAAAAAATCGGTATAATGTCAACTTGTGTACTAGGTAGTCGGAAGAGCATTTCGGATCTACTCGCTGTGAGCGTCACCTATTGAGGAATGCAACAACGACCTCCGTTAGTGCCATCTCTGAATCAGATGTTGGCCACATTAGTCAAACTATATAGTTCAACTGTAAAGTGTCAACACGTTTTGTCGATACGCACAGCAACTTTAAGTGAACGACAGCTAATTCCAAGATGACATTTGAAGTCCTACATAAAGCAATTTTAAGCGATGAACCGTGATAAACTGCTGTTATTCCTTGGTTATGGCCTTGATTATTTTGTCATTTGTCCTTCTGACACAGAACACAGGGCATGATCATTACCCCAACTGTTTGTGGTCCAACGGCATCGATTATAAATGTAATTCAAAATAAGTAAATACTTTACTGTGGTATTAACAACGCACCTAAATACTTTTTCAATTCTGCTAAGAAACAATGGCACCATTGAAACGTAGCAATTATTTTTTCATTGATAACTTACGGAAAACTTACAGACAAAACAAACACAAAAGGCACAAAAGAATATGTTATGTTTTATTCATAGGTCGACATTTGACATTCAAAACCGCACAAAAACCACCAACGGTTAATATTGGTCTCAAATCTCAACTGTCAGTAACAGTGACGTCACGAAGGGACAGTTTGTCAAGTCATTATTTGACAGTTGTTTCAAACCGCGTCGCCTAAAATAAAAAAGTTAAAACTAAACACGACCGGTTGTGATTGGTCGATCACTTAAAATTGCTTATAATGACATGAAAATCTTACATAATGCCAAATAATGTCACTTTTTAAGTTAAAAATATGAAGGTGCTTATCTTTGTATGGAATGTGATGGTAAAAATCCACGCAAGTTCTTCTAACGAACAGTTGTTCGACATGTCACATAACAGGACACTTCATTCCAAGGTTGCCTGAAAACCTGTCAAAGCTTCCCAATCTATTCGTGAACGTAGTTTGGTTGAGTTATCAGCAATTCAGTTGTTTGTATCTAAGGTTAACGTTTGTCAGGTAACTTCAATGCTAGATACTGCTTGTGTAGCCGTTGCTTGCAGAACTCGTAGAACTCTATTTCCTTTGTGAAGTTCTGTCTCACGATGTCTTTCACTTGTTCACTGACTGGCGGCTTGAATGAGTTCTTATTAATGGGGTTATAGCGGCTGATTTCATCTGAGAAAAAAAAATAAGGTGAGTTATTAAGCATACCTTTTAGCAAACTTCGTATATATGAATGTGCAGATTGTAGGTGCTTTGTATTTAGATTCCTCATTCTACTTATTTAGGAAATTCGTTAGTAAAAATTTAACGTATCTCCTAAAGCTCTTGTTAATCGTAGAATAAACTCACAACCAGCACGTGAAGGTTGCTATAAAAAAGTACCTCAGGTTGATTTAAAGTAACTTTGGAAATAAGTACTTAAAAATACAGATAGTTTTTTTAAATATGGGTTCTGAAATTTACCCGCACCAAGATGCAGGGTGTTGATTATCATTTTTGAGAGAAACGAGATATTGTTTATGGAGTATATAAAGGAAACGATTAATTACTTTTCATGGGTAGTGTAAACAGCATTACCAGTATTTTTTTAATTTTTTTTAATTTCCAATTTACTAGTGAAGCAGAGGCTGATGTATTTTTGTTCCTACAGAAGTTGAAAAGAAAATATTCTCTACGACACTGTTCATTTTCTTAAACATCCATTGCATTTTTAAATAAGCTATTTGATTCTAGATGAAATTTAAAATCATTCCTTTTAGAGAACAATGATTTGAATATTTGAGGGAAAATAGTCATAAGAAGACTTAAGTCCACTATGACTATGTAATGACAATACGCGGAAGATGGTGAAGTTTGACATTAAACATTTGTATGTAGTATGATTGGTAGTGTATATACGAGGGCCGTTTGATAAGTCTGTGACTTTTTGAATCTCCCGCGCAGTAACTTTGAATGCAACACCGCTGCCGTCAACTGCCATCTTTTATATGTCAAAATTTGAACAAGCTATGTCATTTCATTTGAGTTTGACAGCCGTTAAAAGTAGACAGTCTCATAAATTCTAACAAAAATGGAGAAAAGTGAATTTCGTGTTCTAATCAAACATTTTTTTTGCCTAAAAAACCATCACTGCAACCAAGTTAAAGCTTGGCAAATACTATGGGGACTCTGCACCATCTATTTTAATTGTGAAGAAGTGGTTTACCGAGTTCCGTTGTGTTCGAACCAGCACAAGTGATGCCGAACGTTCAGGTCGCCCAAAACAGGCTATCATACCAGAAATCGTAGATAAGATCCATGGGATGATATTGGAAGATCGGAGAATAAAAATACAGCTGTAGTAGCTGAGGCTGTAGGCATCTCTACAGAGCGGGTAGGGTATATCACATTTTATATGATTACTTGGACATGATAAAACTATCCGCGAGATGGGTGCCGCGATTGCTCATAGTCGACCATAAGCGGAACCGTGTGATCATTTCAAGGGAATGTTTGGCGATGTTCAGCCGCAATCCAAACGAATTTTTGCGCCGTTTTGTAACTGTAGACGAAACATGGATTCATCACAATACACCAGAAACCAAAGAACAATGAAGACAGTGGGTTTCACATGGTGAGCGTGCTCCAAAGAAGGCCAAGGTGGGTCTGTCAGCCAGCAAGGTTATGGCCACAGTTTCTGGGATGCACGCGGTACTATTTACATCGATTACCTTAAGAAGGGCAGAACGATCACGTGAGAGTACTATTCAGAGCTGTTAGACAGATTCAGCGCTGCTTTGAAACAAAAACGACTGCATTTGGCGAAAAAAAATTGCTGTTCCATCATGACAACGCACGGGTGCACACTTGTGTAGTCTCGATGGCAAAAATTCATGAACTGGGTTACAAACTGCTGCCCCATCCAGCCTATTCTCCAGATTTAGCCCCCAGCGACTACTTCCTATTTCCAAACCTGAAAAAATGGCAGGGTGAATAAATTTGGGTCGAATGAAGACGTCATCATAGAAACAAACGCATATTTTGGGAGTCTTGATAAAAACTACTATTCGGAAGGAATTAAGAAATTGGAGAAACGCTGGACTAAATGTATCGAGCTAAAAGGAGATTATGTTGAGAAATAAAATGCTTATTTGCCGAAAAACATTTGTTTAATTTAAAAAGTCACTGACTTATCAAACAGCCCTCGTATCTACATCCTAGGACCTAGATTTTTAAGAAGACTACTTACTCTGTTTAAACGAATATGACTTCGTTATGACAGTGACTGTCAACTAAACCAATGACCCCAAAATGGTTGCCTTTCTGACCATTCTACGCCAAAATTCACTGTTAGCAGGTATTTGTCTAATTAGCTTAGATTTGTAATCCTACCCGTTTCACAGACAGCAAGAGCAAGAGAAAAGTTGATCAGACAAAATATATGATTATACCATACAAGAGCTTGCATTCAATGGTCTTGTGACTGTTAAATGGCTGGTGATCTCGTTCACGACGGGTTGCAGAGTGCGGTGGAAGAAGTACTAGAGTGGGCGGAACGGTGGCTGATTAAAATTAATCATCCGAAAACGCAGGCTATTTATTGTACCAAAAAACATCGCGGCACTCCAGCAGAGGTTTCAAGACGGCAATCGTGTACCATGGACAAATTCTGCCAAGTACCTCGGTGTCACCCTTGATAAAGGCATGACCTGGCAGAAACATACAGCAGCCTTGAAAACAAAATTCCAAATTGCGTTTCGGCAACTATATCCTTTGTTATGTAGATCCTCCAAATTGAATTGATAAACAAAGTTCGCCTATATAAAATGATTATTAGACCAACCATTACTTATGCATGTGCGGCTTGGTGTTATCTTGCCAAGACACATATGCAACGTCTTCAAGTACTGCAAAGTAGAACTTTGCTAACAATTTGCAACGCTCCATGGTATGTCTCAAACGAGACTTTACACAGAGACCTTGACATTCCTTACTTGAGGTATTATGTCAAACTTCAGGCGCAGCGACGTTATAGTCAAGCGGAATCGCACAGCAACCCTCTGTCGCGCGACACAGTGGACTACACAGTGGAGCAAGTTCGTAAACATTCAAGGCCACGGCTCGCACTGTAATAAAAATTTAGCGCGAACTTTTAGTAAACTTAAAATTACACTCTAACAAAACCGAATCAAAATTTGTTTAGTTCACCTCAAAATTAATCCGTGTACCAAGTCAAAAAGCCTAGGTGTCTCCTCTTAAACTAAACACTTCTGTTTTTCTTTGCTCTTCTCCATTTTTATTCTCTTTCCCTTTCTCTTTTTCCTTGACATTGTCTGGTTTTTGGGCAACCAGTATTGACAGATTCGACTAACGTAAAATAGACAGTGACTAATGGGCAACGGTCCTACGGACCGCATAGACAAACAAATGACGAATAGTATATGTTAAATGGCTTTAAGAAAGAGCTTTACATTAGTTTGTTGTAAGAATACTATTATTTTGAGGTTGTAAGCTGATTTTAGATGATATTGTAGTTGATCAAAATTACTCCAAGAACAAAGAACAAACTTGCTTTCTGGTTTAAATATTTCTTTGGCTTGGGTCTGCAATTCAAGATTTTTGTACTCGTATCTCATTTAGTCACCCAGATTTTCCTGCCATTGTTTTTTCACAAACATACTTACTCCAATAGACATCCGAAGATCCCTCAAAAAATCTCGGTATGTAATTCTCCAGCACAGTTAACGTGGTGTTCATATCTTCTAAAACCCCCACGACAGCGTAGTGCCTCTCCACCGCCATTTTGGCCCTTTCAAGGGCGCCCTCTGTGTTGAAGGGCAGACAATCGGGGTGGTGGCCGCAGAAGAACATGGATTGGCGTCGGTGGTCTCCAATGCCTTCCCTGATCTCACCCTGGACGTACCGGCATTCCCTGTCGCCTGTCAGCACGCAATGTTCGAAGTCCTGGAAGATGGTTAGGTGAGATTGAAGCTGATGGAGGAATTGTTAAGGTAAGGACGGGCAGGGAAAATAAATGTCACCGTCGAAAGTAGAATAATAGAAACGTCTTGCGACAAGGAAATTCTCTTAACGAATCTGAATGTTGCCAGGCTCAAAATAGTGTGAAAAATTATTGGTACAATTTTTATAAGCAAATTGCAAAAACTGTTCTTTTTTGAACGGACAACGTTCTTCTAGGTTTTTTTAATTCTCAACAAAAAGAAGTTTTCTCTAAGACAACAGTAGCTTGGAATACCGAAAAATAACATTTCCTAATTTTATTAATATCCTGGCACCCGGGATTTTTGTCAAGTATTACCCAGATCCGAAAACTCTTGGATACCCAGGTATACCTGACCCTGGCACCCGGTTCCGAAAACTCTAACTAGTAGGGTTGAAGCGGATAGTGAATTGGTCGGATAACCGAATACCCGATATCCGAATGCCGGTTAGCCGACACGCTCCAAAAGTCTCATATTTGCATTTTCCTCATAGTGTGGATTATTCCAGCAGTGGAAAAGGTGCGCCTCCACCTAGCAAGAAACTCCCAAAACTTTATGAACCTGTTTCAACGAGGTAGCGGAAGCAAACATCTTAGACGAACATTTCTCACAAAAGATACTGTTGCTAGAGAACTTGATATTTATCTAAACATGCTTTGAATTAAATGACGAAATGACTATCCATATGCATGGTGGATAGTCAACTGTAAGCAATAGCCATGTTCTTGTAATGATTTCCAAATGTAGTTGACCAAACGAATTGTTATAAAAGTAGCATTCAAGTCCATGTGTCAAACTGAAATGGACTGTTTTCAGCCACCCACAATCGCCAGAAAATTGTTGGAACATGCCTTTTAAGCAATTTGGGCAAGGTTTGTCAAAGTACATCTGTTGTTTCCCTGTAGCAGCATATACAGTAAGAGTATCATAAGAAACCTGCATATTGTACAAGAAGCAGCAAAAATGGCTTTAGCCAAGGAACGCAGAAAAACTCTCATTCGTAAACTGCAATTTGCTGTTTATTTATTAATTCACCACTGGTTACGGATCTTCTTTTTAACGTTTGCTCTACTTAACATAGAAAAGAACTAGCTGAAACAGGAAAGGATATATTTTTACTTTGTAATTTACTTTGTTCGCAAACCTTTATTTATTAGGTTAGTTTGCTTTTGCATGGACCAGCTGTCATCATTATTTAGACCTATATCATATATAATGACCATATTACATCCGTGTCAGCACCATCAAGAAACAGAAAAAAAATGTAAGCAGACACAATATCTTTGTCGTCCACACTTGTGTGACCGAATGCGGATGACCGAGCCATTTCGACTGCTCTTGTGACAATTGACAACATAGGTGTTGGCTGTTTGATCTCGATTTCCATGACCCTTCTGAATCCGCCTATTGACCGAAAATACATTTTTAAAATTGACATAACTCCGATAATAAAAAACTGTACGCGGTACGAATACGAACGCACCCACCGCCTCACATTGCAGGCGCCGCGCAATTATGTGAATATCGCGCAGACCAAAAGCCGGAGCCATAAAAAATTTAATAAAAAAAACCAAACATATCCGACTAAAGCCGCTTCGATGTCAACCTTAGTGCGTAGCTTCCGAATTTGATGTAAATATCAATTTTTTACGTCAAGCCAAGACTCACAAGAGAAGGGGACAGGGTTCCATTTTCTGCACTGGGCTCCACGATTTCTTGACGATCGCCGTTTCGACGTTTCAAATTACCTGAGCTTAACTAGAAACCAGCCCAACTGAAGAAAACGTTTAGCCATACGTAAAAAATGCATAAAATGCTGCAACTACTCCATTAAGAAGATAAGAAACGCATACACTTGAGTGCCCTTCCCAGAAATCGTTTGCTAAACTTAATTGAGCATCATTCATCTTCACGTTCATGTCCGATGGCACTTCTCCAATCTATTTTAGGCTATTTTCGTATGTAATTTAAATACCACCACATCAAAACAACCGTCAAAATTAGCATGGCCAATATATCGGAAATTCTGTTTTATGTCAGGATAGAGGCTGTTTCAATTTCCAAAATAAACTCATCAGTCGTATGGTTTCGATTTTAGCACTTTTATTTTCACTTTTTAGCTGAATGATGCTATTCGGGATATATTTAGATGTTTATGTGGACTGGTTTGTTTAATTTTCCTGTGATAATAAATTGGTCCGAAAAATACAAACTTGGTTTCAGGGAAGGTATGCCAGCAGAGAATTTAGAATATCTTCGTAGTAGATGTAATCAAAGTAATAGTTGCATGTTTATTCAGGGCACTGGATAAACAAATATAAACTTAGCATCTTGATTCGTGTTTGGTATTCAAACGACCTATCCACAGCAGTCGCCCTAGCAGCTCTTGGTCAACACCACACATTCAGCGGACACGTTGTGAGCTCGTTTTGTTATCAATGTTTGGCTCTGATGTGATGTAAAATCTGCTTCAGAGATGGCATTACTGGAGGTAACGGCAATGCATAGGTGCATAGTGAAGACTTGTGTGCTGATAACACTTGTTGATGATAATTCCATTGGATTCGTGTCTCAAATACACTTACTTGAGATTCAAAGCTAGAAACTAGTTGCTCATCCATTTTTTCTTATCCATTCTGAAAATTTCATATGCAAATTTGGTGAATTTCAAAAATGAGAGGGATAAGAAATAATTATATTCACTGTACACCCTCGAATTAGAAGTCATATAGATGCTAACAGTAATTACACACAAAGCGGGAGCGGTAGTGATTTCCCGTAATTGTCCTCAAAGTTTTTGAAAACGCAAAAAAATCGAAATTTATAACTTTGAACATAACTTGTCTCCAGAAAGGACAACATATAAATAACTCGTCTAAGACAGCTAATGGATATACTTCATTGGCAGTATATTCAGAAATGATTTTCTCACACAGCAAATATCACTGATTTTATACACGTCCAGACCAATACACATAATCATCCAGATGCGATCTTGCTATTCAACCAACTTTCTTCTCAGAGATGAAAACTATAGACTACTCGGCTTCACAAAACATATGCAACCAACAATGCGTGTAATTGAGCCATTCCTCCATAGATGTACGCTCACAACGATCCTAGTGAGCAAACGTGAAAGGACTGTTTGCACTCCAAAAACTACCCCATACCCTATTTCACGAGTATCCATCACCGTTGAATGACAGCTGGTTATCTAGTAATTCTTGAAAATTCCCCATATCGACTCAGGATACTTAATTTTTTTTGTACGCTGCAGATTCATTTTGTACTTGTCAATAGCTCTTTTATTTAGACAAGTTCATTTGCATACAAAAGATAAAACGCCACAAACCAAACAAGTTTTACTTGATTTATACCCGATCCATTATTACCAACGTTGCAGACTTACACAAAAATGTCACATGCTGATCAGCTGTTTACCTCAGTAGACGTCAAAGAGTGATATATACTCGTGAAATAGGGTATAGTCTGCAAGATGACTATAGGTTTTTTGACGACAGAGCTCTCCTTGGTGATGTCGCCGCGCGATGAGCCTGCCAGACAGACCCGCCTCTCCACTTTAATCGTATTGAACTTTGCACATCAAGAACTGGACGGTATTTAATGTCGAGATTATGGAACAATATTCTTGAAGAGGCCTCTTCCAGATCTACTAGCCTTGGGCAGCTCAAAAATCGGATTAACAAAGCGCCTTTAAGCTTTAAGCGGTTGCTTCAGCATAAAAAAATTATGAAGAAGCCGGTACCACAAGAAGAATGTAATACATAAAAAGATACAGCACTTTTTGATACTGATACTATTATTTCATTTGAGCTTATCCGAAAGTACTGCCAAAGTAGTAATTCACATACCTTTTTCAACCATTTTGGATCCGGCAATGGAATATCTGGAAAAGCGATTTTTCTCTCGACATAGTACCAAGGAGCTCGAACGTAATAATACCAAGATATGACTCTCTCTATAGGATCTCTCACTAGGTTGATGTATATAGGCTCTGGGAATCCAAACCTGAAAGAAAAAATATTTATGGCCTAGCTCACTATATTGCACCATAATAGGATCATATCATGAACCTAATGATGTTACCTCACAGGTAGATCGTAGAGGTCAGAAAGAACAGAGGAAAAATCAGTTTTTCTAAGAGAAAGAGGAGACTTAAGCGTTTTTGTTAACTGTCATCCAATTATGGGTCTTTTAATTGATTACAGCACCAAAACAAAATACAAAATTAATTTCTTTTACATTTTTATTAATAGTTGTGCTCAAATGGAAAGTTTTTCAAACGGGTATTATATGTGTTATATATAAGCTTGATAGCAACCCAGTATGACGCTAGTAGGATATGGTATCAAGACCAAATACTTTTAAGATGCAGGCCCACTGAGGCGAAGTGAAACAGCAGAATCGGTAAAATGTCTACCTACTCAGAAATGTTGGTGAAGCAGACATGTTTGATGTAAACTCCCGGTGGTTCATAGCTGGACACCATCGCTCCAAGGGAAGCCTGATCGTCAGGCGACAACCTGATGGTCTCCACCCTTTGAACTCTGTCCTGGTGAAAGCCAAAGTCGTTGCGGATGCTAAGTCGACGTATCAGTTCCATCAGAGTCTGCGATCCTACTTTGGGCACCCGGTTGAAGAACACGATCTGCTGCTGGGCCTTCTTGGTGTTGTTCAGGTTATCAGGGTTCAACAAGGACATCTAAAGGATAAAAATATTAAGCGTCTAGCAGGTTTATAGAACTACTGATAAATGTTTTCTTAGAAGGAATGATTGTATTCTTTACTTAAGACTATTTTTTCATTCTATTCTAAGTCTGGATATCGGAGTACCGCCGTTGCTTTGCAGGACTACAGGAGAGTCTGGTGATATATTCCTTGGACAGATTTGGAAGCAATGTCGAGTGACATTGTCACGCGCCGAAGTCCTTCCTCTGAATGAAGCTTGGGTAGGCCAGAGGTTAGCGAGTCGCGCTAATAGTCACTCGACCTGAGGCTCGCGGGTGGAATCCCCGGATCGGAAGTTAATTCCGAGACATGCATGTTGTGTTGTGTGTTACTTATACTACGCACCAGATCGGAGCAAGATCAACATAGGTACTTCGCATCGCTGGAGCTAATTTGTTCAATAATCAGTTACGACTAGATGGTTTGAGGAGTAGTACAGTGAACATGGTTGTTTTCAACCGCCAGACCAAAAGACAGCCAACCATGGATAGATGTTTCATGCTTTTTGGCTACTCATCGGTATGGTGTAAGCCATGGTGACCGGGCTACTAAAGGCGAACTGAGATCTTTACGGTTCCAACAAATAGCTGCTATGCACTACCGCTGTGGTCGATTTTGGTGGTAGATAGGGCTTTGCACTGTCTGAGTACTGTCGAGTACTAATGTTCTTGTCAATGCACATTTTAGAGGAAATTTTATGAGACATCATGCAGTATGCACATAATCGAAAACTGAGAAATTGGGCAGGGTTCTATTCAGAACTGTTTTCCGATCATTGAATGATCGATTGCAGATGGTAATTTTCCAAGTCATAACTGAAATGAATTAGTTCCTCAATTTTACAGGGACAGTGCATATATTACGAGATATATGAAAATACCTTCGTTGGATTTTTGTAATAGTGCACCCTATACGCCACGCGAATTCCTGACTTTACCTCTGACAGACCAAGTGATCAATATCATATTTACCAATAAGATTCATCCTATCCACCTATTGTTGAAAAATCACGTAAATGTATTCGTTATGTGAAAAATCTTCGAAAATCAGTCTAGCAGACCTGGAAAGTGGTGGTAACTGTTGTCGTCTATTTGCAACAGGTGTTAGTTTTTTGTTTTCGTTTGTGTTAATTACTTATATGTATTTTGTATAAAACTAATCATTTCCAGTATATCAATTACTATGTTAGCTTGCCGTTAAGTTTACGACCTTACAAGATTTCTAAGAAAGCTAAAGATGACAAACAGAAATTGTCGCCTATTGAGAGCATTATTAAGAAAGTTATCCTGATGACGGAGTCAACAGTATTCCAACGATGTTTTTAAATTAGGCAGTAGTTGATAACTCACCTCCCCAGTGCTCTCTAGAAGCTTCATTGTTGATCTAACTCCTGTTAGCGGTCTAGCTGGCGGTCCACTTTGAACTGGAATTTCCGTAAAAATTGGATTATATAACAGCAGTGTAACAACTTGAGAAAAGCTTGAATCTTTACTGCTCTGCAATGTTTATTCTAAAGTCTGCCTAGAAGCTAAGTAGCCTATGAAAAACTATAATTTGGAGAACACAGTCTTTGGCCGATTGAATTGAATCGGTCATTGCAAAAACATCCTAAGCCCGGGACTTTTTCGAAATCTTAAATGGCCAAATTAACTTATATATATATATATATATATATATATATATATATATATATATATATATTTATACTTTCTATTTCCAATTAGACTACGTTTAGAGTTTCATTTTTAGTATTATTTTCCATAATTGGGAGATTAGAAATAATATTGGGGAAGGAGTATCATTTTAATAGCATAAGCGTGCTCCCTCAAAAAAACCTAATATTAAAGCAAAAAGTATGTTAATCAATATTTTTGATGCACCGTAATTCAAATAATATTGAAGAAAACTTCATAAAACATGTTCATGCCTACGCAAATCAACGAAGAGTTTATTTTTCGTTCTTAATATGTAAAATATATTTTGTGATTCATTACAAAATAAATATTTATGTATATCTTGCTACGCGATACGAAATATAGCTTTTACATGTTTAAGGCTACCATCTATGATGAAAAATTTGTAACACATATCGAGACCTAACAAAATACTTATCGCCTTTGAAATATTAAAACCTAAGGTCGGTATCTTTCAGTTTCAAAGCATCCCAATTTCCAAACTTGAAACGTGTGAATTACATATTTATTTACAAATTTTTGGATAAATAAATAAATTGGAAAATTTACAGAACCATGTTGTACCGCCCCCATCATATACGTCCCCCCGGTGTTATAGTATCACCAAAGATATATTAATATATTAAAATAACCTGAAATCATTTGATGAGCTGTTATATCTGGATGAATTCTCACTTCCATTTCTTTCAATTTCGTATTCAAGTCGCGATTGTGGACAAACAGAAATAACGTTGTGGCTAGTGCTGCTAGAGCTACCAGCTCACTCATCCTGAAACAAGAAATACCTTGATAAATCGAAATTCTCTCTGTTGGGAAATTATTAACATAATCAGGAAATGAGGTAAAAACATCCTTGACCCTTGTTGATTCATCTGATCAAAAGAAAACCATCACATAAGGTGATACTACTAAAAATGGGATATTTTCTTCAACTTACTCTAGCAAAAAGCATTAGAGAACAATAATGGTTCGTTGAGGGTTCACATACTAAGCCTGTGATAGCTGAGGAACCTGCTGTGATGATTCCTATTAAAAATATATACAAATTTGCAAAATTTAATTCTCGGCGTGCATCTTGGAAGTAACAGTTACGCCCAACCGTTATTGTGCTTATGAACCATGTCTTGATCCGATATGTATAACTGTAGCTAAATTGAGAAGAGTGGTAACGGGATGCTAACTAGAGTAGCACGACCACACGGGTCTTTTGTCATTTTGCTTCTTCAGATAGTCACTCAAGCATACACAGATATGATTAGATTTGATGTAAAATTGTAATTTTTGTGTGAAAATACTTATAAACATTTAAATAAAATGTTTCAGATTTGAAAGCATTGCTTCTATTTCAAACAAACTATGCAGAGATGAGTGACCGTTAGAAGAGTCTGATATAGAGAAACTTCCGATTCCATGGCTTTCTCGACTTCAATTATTTAGAAAATGAATTTTTATACATTTCTGATAGAAAGGATTTATTTGTTACGCTGTTTTTTACGTTTTTTAACGAATTCTTTAAAATCCTTGAGATATATTGGCATTCTTATATTGCATGATCTCATTTGAGATGTCCTAATTATCATGATTTTTTCCAAAGAAGAATCGCACACAGTTTATATTCTAAAAGTCTGAACAAACACAACGACCGTTTCGCACTAGCCAATCAATAGTCATTGAAGATAATGGTGAAAGTGCAAAAGAGGCTTAATTCTATTCTCCAACCATATCAACATATAACATATATTCGGCTAAGGCGCCATCTATGATCTCATCTCATATAATCTCACATAACTTTTTGGACGCGGGAATACAGTATTAGATTGGTTATCTTCAGATAGAATACGTTAACCAATGGTATTGCTAATATTTGTCATACCACCTCGCAGTAACAATGGTCAATCTGCGCACTTGAAAATAAATCAATCAATAAACGGATCCAATTATTTGCTAATAATTAAAAACTCCACTAAAGTCTTGGACGATATAAGGCGTTTCCTCAGTCATTATTCAATACGGCGTAAGCAGGATAGGTAAACAAAACATTCATTTACCAACCGCTTTGGAAAAATCCAAAATAGTATACTCGTGCAGCAATATCGAACTTGTCGATATGATTTTAATTTATGATGTCTTCAAAATGCTACCGAGGCTTCGCGAAAGTATGTAGATCGCTTTTTCAGGGCCGCGTGGATTGTTTACCTTGTGCAAAGATCTAGGGATACAGGTCGTTTGTAGGAATGTCTAGGTGGACACAGTGACGTAAACAACCTCAAATAGTGCAAACCGAGGAAGAAGTATTGAATCTTGAGGAAGAAAATCGTTCAACAATCTCTAGGAAAGTGGCTAGACAAGTGCAAGTCTCCTAAAGTGTGGCAAACGATGTGTGATGATTGATTACACCCTTCTGTACAAGCTCTCCAAGCTGAGGATAAAAGTGATAATATATATAATATATAATAAATCATTCCGTTTCCCAACTATACAACTTTTCCAGGAAATGAAATTCTTTGTCATACGACAGTAGTATTGCTATCGAATAATACTGTCTCAATATAAAAATAGAAATAACAAAAATACAAATACGTAACAAAAACGTTATGGAAGTACCAAAGCCGGACAAAAATGCAATGCAAAGATCCTTTGTATTTCTTGGTCCTAGATCTTATAATATGATACAACAGGATTTGAAGCAACTGAACTATTCCAAATCAAGCTGAAAGATTGGAACAAAAAATTGCCAACAATAAAGGTGCATCAATATGATGATGTGAAAAATACTTACTTTATAAATGACAATATGTAAGGATGAGTAACTTCATTATTGATACTTTTTGGCTCTAACAAATATTAACACTCCCAAAAGTTTAAGCTTTTATATAGGTATGTAATTAATATAAACAACAAAATAGTTCAGTGTATATTATATATCAAACTTTTGTATGGATGTACTCGTATATTATTGTAACAGTGATTGAGTAAATGATTAGACTTTATACGTGATAGAAAATGTTTGTCTTCTTTGACGCTCATATATTATGAAAATAAATGGTCAGAGGAATAAAAAAAAAGGTGAAAAATCATTATTATCTGCATATTAGTCACAGATTAATCAAACTTCAGGCGTAATAATTTCCGAAATACTCATGAATCGTTGGAAAATCCTCACGTAGTCCGTGGGATACATTTTCATTGAATATTTGGGCTGGCATGTTAAATGGTGTGTTTATTGGACAGTACAGTACCTAGGGTTTCTGCGAAACTTTTTACCAGTGACGACAACTTTGAACAGTACCTATAAGTGGCAGAGCTGTACTTGAAACTTCTCTGCAAATGAACGGTTTTCATTTATTTTTTTCACTTTTTCGCTACTGTTTCACCATACATTAGCGTTATTTCAAGTGTAGTTGTTTCTAAAAAGGAAAGTCTCAAATTTAATGACACCCTGTATATCGAAACAGCAGCAGCTGTACATGGAGTTAGTTAGCAGCTCAGAATGAACTGTAAATAGAAAATGAAAGGACATATTTTCTAATTTATTCACAATTAAGAGAACCTCAAGTGGATAGTGATGGTAAAGGGGAATCGTATTACGTGAAAGTATGCCATCAAATCATCTTTTTTTATAAAAAAGAGGAACCAGGAGGATTAATCAACATGTACCCACTATTTAATAGCTGAGAATATTCGTATTACCTGGATGATATTATGTAATAAATGCACGTACCAACATAAAATTTACGACAGGAATTGAAAGTATTCCGATGGAATTTAATCATTAATCTGGAATATTATGTAATTTTACTACCTAGAAGTTTATTCATTACGTTAGAAGTAGTTCAACTGCGTATCGTAATACGTAAACTAAGCTCCTAGTATAATAAAAAGGTATGAAGAAGTATTACATATGGCTTTGTAAACCTCATTCCATAAATATCCAATTGAACATTGGATATCATTTCAAAAGTTCATCTGCAAGTACCATTTACATAGTTTTGATTCAACGTTTCAACTGATAATCGTAAATTCGTAAATGTAAACCTGTTGTGCTTTACGGGGTATTTTCTTTCTGAAGCGCTAAAACACACTGATGAGTTCAAATGAGGACAAAATAAGTTTCTATTGTATGTCCATATACAATCCCTATGGTACTTGAAGTGCCTAATATTAATGGTATGTTCCTCGGTATACATCTGACAAGTAATTATAAATAGCAATTACACATAGATGGTAAATATATGGTCTGCTACCAATAGCTAGTTACTGTATGAAACAGCTGAAACACCAGGTATACAGGGTATTTTCAAAGTTTAATCATTGATTTTAACTGCTTGTAGGACTCGTCAAAAGGAGTTGATATACCAAAAATCAGCTATATAAAAGTTGCATAATAAAAGAAATAGTAAGAAATTGAATTATTTTAAAAATAAGAGACATTTTAGAAATGGTCGAAGACGACTCAACAATGAGTACTAGAGCCATAGCAGCTCAAGTTGCAGTTTTTCATAGTAAATTAGTAGTAAATTTCCGAATAGATGGATAGGGCGCAATGCACTCGTTTCTTGGCCTGCTCGCTCCCCGATTTAACGCCTTGCGATTTTTTTCTGTGGGGCTATTTGAAAGAGTTGGTGTATCATCGAACCTTGTAAAGACTCGTGAATTCGCCGAGCAAGATTTTGCGTTATTCGAACTTAAGGGGACAATCTGGAATAGCTTTTGTAAAGACGGTATCGATTTAACTTGATAATGATTTTTTTAAGTTAATTTTTAATAATGTAAACTAACTCTCTTATTATGCAACCTTTATATAGGTTATTTTTGGTATATCAACTTCTTTTGACGAGTTCTACCAGCTGTTAAAATAAATGACTCAACTTTGAAAACACCCTGTATAGATTAGTTACTAGGGTATATTATTTTTCTTACTTCCAAAGTACCATCTCCTAAGGCATAACTACGTGGGGCCCATTTACCCATACAAATACGATTTTTGTTCTCCAGAGAAGGGTTGATGGGATTATTGCCACAGTAGGTAACAGAAATGCAGATATGTTTTGGCTATGTTAAATATATTTTACATTACCTTGTTTCGGCCTTTTCAATTGTTACTTGACTAGATTGGGTACAGTAGCTTTGATGTACTCTATGCACGTGGCTATTTTAATTCAAAAAACTGCCCAGTCTTATACGACTAAATTCAGCCCCCCTAGTATATAGGAATCAATCTGTTCCTTATTGAAGAAGTTTGAACATTACTACTACAAAAGTAAATACTTCGATCTCACAAATTTTTACGCATTCTATATCATCTATTCTATATGATCTCTGAGTTGAGATTATTGTTATTTTTATTGTTATTAATCTATTGGTGACTGAGTTTAGGTATGAGTGCTGAGTGTCCATCATTCATTGGTTATTGCGTAATAATTTAACGGTTTGTCTAGTAGTGTTTGTGAGATGCTAATTCATTCAAATTTAGTTCCGCTAATTTCACCGTAGTTGATTAGTCAATGAGTATTGAAATTGGGAAAACTAGTTGACATGTGGTATACAAGTAATGGACGATGCACGCCTATAGCGTTACAATTTCGTATGTTAGGTAACGCGTAACATTATGCGGTGATACAATACTGATAAAGATACCATTTTGGTATTTACGTAGGGCTACCTTAGCAGCAAATACGTTAGTTAATATAAAGTCGACAGCAGCAAATGTACGTTTGAACTTGGGCGCAGACAGGTGTATAGGAAATTCAAACTGCCAATAGCTAACCCACCTTTCTAACAAAAATGTTGGATTCTATTCGGCCATATTACGTATGCTTTACTAGTAGAGTGATATATGAAATAAAAAATGTGTTGGCAAACTCCATATTCTCATGGCCAAATGAAACCACATATGTAGAAATTAAAGTTTACTTGTGTTTTGGCTGGGGGCGTTCGCGAACGAACTATTTAACACAAGTATAATGTCAGTGAAATCGTCGCTTCTCAATCTTTCATCCCATCGTCGGAGCTAAACAGCGTCAAGCACGGTTAGTATTTGTATGGCTATTATTGTTTTTTGTATTCCATTTTTTTTGTTAAGATGGTTAACTGTCGGGTAGTAGATGTAGGTATGAGATATACACGTTTTCTAACATTTTCAAATAATGTACACTTTTGTTTTTTGGCTTCAAAAGCTTCTAAGGTTTTCCAAAAAAATAATACAAACCTGGGCAACCCTAGGTATGTAGATGTTCTCCTTTCGCGAGGATGGTTTTTTCAGTATCGCAGACAAAAGCTAAGCGAAAATGAACTGAAGAAGAAAACAGACCTTTTGAATGATTCTGGCATTGAGGTAAAACATCTTTGGGCAGCTTGACGCAGCAGGTATTATCGAACTCCTGAAGTGGTACCAGGAACGAGAAAAAATCTACCTCAGATTAGTTGAGATGGTTGAAAAACGTTCGTATCTGCCACCTGTGCCATTCGAGCGACCTTTTTCGACGGATGAGCAGGCAGTCTTATCAACATAAATAGACTAAAAGCCAATAAAATAAAAAAATTGATGTTTTTAAATGGACATTTTTAGTTAATTTACATTTTCATTTTAGTATTTTTTTAATTTTTAACATTTTCGGCCTTGATAACTTACAGTACTCATCATCATTTTCGTAACCTCCAGGCAGTTGCCAGTTTACTCCCGACTAGTTCAATTGGATCATCCGGATACTATAATAAGTCGCTCGTAGTGAATGAGTGAACGAGTTATTCAAGGAATGATGAATTAGCTCACTTAGTTCAATCATAAGAATCGTTGGATTGAACTAGTTCGTTCGCGAACTGCACACCACTACTGACAACTCGGTCATCTTTGACCCTTTTTGCCGACCCTGTAGTACCCAACACTGTACTACTTCACAACTACTAACTGATTGATAAATGCACAAGTTCCAGAGGTGGTGACCTCCTATAAATTGACCCCCCTTCAACTTCTTTATATGACCTTCCAGAATAAAAAGTTGTTTATAAAAGTTATAGGATCCAATATGAAATTTTTTATGTAACTTTTTTTTTAGAATAGTATCTATAGTCTCAGAAAAGTGCGATCGATGAAAGTTGTATTTTTTTATAAACGTAATGTCCTATATATTTTCTGGAAAAAGTTCCCAGTTTGCATCTAGCCGCCTATGCAATCTGGAATAGGACCGGAATACATATGATTAAATGACACACAAACTTCAAGTTTTTGACTGAAGTAATTAGAATTTTTCAACAAACCATACATATTTAGAACCAGAAATAAAGGACAATAATGTTCACTGGAAATATACAGGGTGTTTTAAAGAATACAACTTGCCTCGCAGCGAGGCATCCGGTATCATTAATATGGGTACCGGGGCACGCTGGGATAAGGGGCAATGAGACGGCGGACACTCTGGCGAAAACAGGATCAGCCAGCAAGCTCGTTGGTCCTGAGCCAGCTCTAGGAGTAACCGCGCATAAAGCTAGGAGGAAAATGGAGACGTGGGTTGCAAGACAACACTCTCAGAAATGGAGAAGTATCTCTAGACATCTCCGCCAGGCACGAGAGCTCATTGAAGGGCCCAGTGCTAAGGATGGACGCTTCTGCCTATCTCTGGGTAGAGCCAACCTAAGGTTGCTGGTGGGACTGTTGTCTGGCCATAACACGTTAAGGCGGCACCTGCACGTGATGGGGGTGGCTGAGGATCCCTTGTGCGAACGCTGCGGAGTAGAGGAAGAGACCTCGGCGCGTTTTGTGTCGCTGTGAAGCTCTGAGCTACTATAGGCAGACTATACTGGGGTCCATTATTTTGGACCCCCAGGACGTAAAGGAGCTTGGACTCAAGGCGATTCTCAACTTCGCTAAAAGGGCGAGGCTTGTGATTTAAGTATTGTAGAGGTGCATAAGGGCCCGCTTAAGCGGCCTATGCACTGGCTCCTTATGGTGGCCGGGATGCCTCTAAAATTCAAGGTTCATTCAAAGAATACAACTTTATTCGATAGCACTTTTCTGAGACACCCGGAATACAAAGAAATACTAGATGGAAAAGCTTATATTAGACCATATAACTTTTATTATACAACTTAAGTGTACACCGATCTGGTACGTGATATGGATAATACACAATACAGCATCCAATTCTCGGAATTAGCTACTGAGGCGGTGATTCGAACATACTCGGCAATTTGATCTGGAAAAAGGACCGGCAGGGATATTACGTACCTTAAAAAGAAACATTATGTCGACTTTTTTGACATTATATAGGTTTTTTATGACATGATGTAGGTTTCCATATAAGTTGTCAACTAAGAACTAGCTGTCGTTCACTTCATGCTCACTTGTAGCAGGCGCGGAATGAACTGAACTATTTGGATACAACCAGTCAACCAGTTAACATTTTTTTAGGTTTTTTGACATTATATATTTTTTTTACGTAATAACCTTGCCGGATAAACATGTCTATTGTTCATAAGGGCAAATTGCTGTTTCCGTACGGTTTTGGTTGGAAGGAAAGTCGAACCAAAAGTCGTCCTTTATGGACAAACATTGATAGCAACTGCTTCTTGCAGAAGCCGAAGAAGGTATACGTTAGATTTCCAGTACACGTAGAAAGCATAAAAATCAGATTTACGATTACTTTTTTACGAACACGGAGAAAACGCAATCTCAGTATGTCGCAACAAACCATAAAGAGACATGCATTCATATCAGTATGTAGTTCACACGTCAAGAGACACATAACGGCTCTGTAGATAAGAGTTTGGAGAAAGCAGCCAGAGTTTTGCACTTGATATACTGCAAAACGCCTATTTTCCCCAATTCACGTACTGTTTATGGTATCTCCGAAACGGTGTAGTCACTCTTGCAAAACGGCTTCCTAACTGTTGTGCTAAAGTTGTGTCATCCATACTCAGCTTTAATTTAACTTCAATTTAGATGACAATGCTTTCACTTCATAGAATTTTGATAGAGTATCGGAGAATGAGGAATGAATTACGTTTGGCAATTAATGGTAATTGTATCTGCAGTGCTGGGCATTTAAATGTTCCTTTGATTGTACAACAAAATTGATGATAGCCAAGTCATTATATTTTCGGTAGTATGGAAGTGTTATGCAATAATTCTAGATCTTCAAAAAATCGTTATTACCTTGTCTTCTTCTTCAAGAAGCCAAATGGGGAGTTACTCGAGCTTCGTAGAGACCTATTTGGTTTTGAAGATTAGATCGCAGAAAAAAAAGGTTATACTCGTATGATGTACAATCCCTTTAGTGGCGGTGGAACGTCTACCGGTTGTCAAAAATGAAAAAAAAATGGTAACACACAAATACTCAGTGCGTCAGATATTGAGTGTGTGATAGATAGCTATTTATTTCATCTGTTCATGTACTAAGCTGGCGTTCATTTAAAAATGGTTGTAGAAGAAACTCAATGGTACAGGTAACAACATATACAATGTGTCTGGTCACGACATACCGATATTTAAAAGGAGTATTTTTCAGCTATTTTTATCGAAAAATCCACCCCCCCTACAATGTCCTACCTCATCCCCCTTGAAATGGTAGCCATTTTTATTTTTACGTTACGATTACGGTAGTGCATGTATGAAAATTGTAATAACTGAGTACATAATTGTCACAGAATGATAAATTTGGTGTCATATGAACGATGACATGTTGTCCTAGCGATTATTGAAAAACTTGTTTTGGTACTAACCGTCAAACATACTTAAAAACAAACAAAAAGAGAAAAAAATGTGAAAGAAAATTGATTATTCTTTGTATTTCCGCACACCATTCAAAAACTAGTCTGTGAAGTTCTACCCTTTTTGTGCTAATTCTACAGCTTTTTGTTATCCTAAGTATTCTACGTTAAACGATAAATGCTATCTAACATGGGTCAAAATGGGTGTAAAAAAATGCAAATTTTTTTCAAACTTTATATACGTAAAAATTACAAATCAATGTTTCTTATAAAGAGTTTTTACATGTTTAATGTTACAGAAGCTGTTCAAAATGTCCTCCATTATTGGTTATGCACATTGTTGTTCTTAAAACAATGTGTAGTGTTGAACGGCAGACCATATCCATGTCAGCCCTAATTTGGTTCGCAGCAGAATGGTACCATTTCAACGGGGGTGAGGTATGACATTGTAGGGGATGGATTTGTCGGTACAACTAGCTGAAAAATATCCCCCTCAAATATCGGTATGTCGTGACCAAACACATTGTATATATAAAAATCGACAGTAGGCATACGTCTCTAGCTAAAATAATTTGTTTTCATCTCTTCGTACCACGGTTATAAACCAACTCTTATACGATAGATACCATACTAAGACAGATTTTAATATAACTTGGAACTATGTGCACGTGATTGTTCTACATTCATCAATAAATTTGTTAGAAAGGATTGTTGCAACATGTACAATGAAGACCCGCAACGTAAAATGGCAATTGGTATTGAAAGAGAACAATCACATTTTATGGCCATTATCTGCACATCTTAAGAATTCAGTTTTACACATACCATTTTCTCATACGGAAGACGAAGAATCTTTTCGTTATAGAACGCATTCTTAAATACTGTGTAAGCTACAAGCTGGAACCTAAAATACTTCCTTGTGGCGCCCCTAGGAGTTACTAGATTCAAGAGTACACGTATTTGGATTTATAGAGGATGGAGGGTGGAATATTTGATTTTGAAGCGTAGCTCTTATGTCAAGTACCTGAAGCGTTGACTGGTTTGACTAATAGTAGCACCATGAACAGATATTTTTCCAACCAAATTAATTTATAATTCTTCAAAGTCAATTAATTCAAAGTTATTATGGGAATTTGTTATATAATATTGATTAGAGAAGATATATATTATTATAGTAGGACATGAAACGCTTAGAACCTGGATTTTCCATGTTCATTAAATCGTCCACTTTGGCGCAATTAATTCCTGTTTCGATACGAGGCTACGAGATCGAAGCTAATTGACACGGACAGTTGACATGTCATTGAAAATAATTACAAACTATGCGTCTACTAAAACTAGCTCTCCTGCTCCAGAATTTTTGGACCCTCGGAGGAGCCTTCGTCTATTATTGCTTTGAACACCCGGCATTGGTCCTACAGTCGATATCTGAAAAATGAGATTTTGAATATTATATCAGTTGCGTAATCACATAGCTTTGTAAGTAATTCATTTGA